TTAAAATTAATAATCAATTCATTTAATAAAGCGCAACAAAAAAAAAAAAAAAAAACTTTAATTTCCTAACAAAAAAAAAAAAAAAAAAAATTTGATTCCCTTTAATGAATGATAAATGTTTTTTTTTTATAAATTAGTCAATTATGTGATAATTAAAATAATATGTGCCGAGATGAATTAAAGATGTATTCCCTTGACATTGTTAGCAAATTGAATAAGAAGGAGAACTCACATATGTTCCGGATGATTTCGTATACAATTAATTAATTCTCCCGGTTTTAATTCTCCCGTGCATATTTTATGTATGGCAGTGAATAATGGATATTTATCTTCTAGATTTTTACTTTTAAGCATGTAATTAACTTCGAAAGCCGTGTACGGACCCTGAAGTTTTTGACCGTTGAGCATTTCATTTTCTAATTCCGCGATCGACTACAATCGAACAAAATAATACAATAATAACAATAAGTAAGTTATGCGAATCGTAAAACATGAGATAAACCTTGAATGTTTGAAATAAAATTATTTATTTATTTATTATTATTATTATTACCTTTCCCGTTCTGACAAATGCTTCTGAAACTTTTCTATTTCTTCCACCGTAACAAGTCGTTATAAGATCGGCAACACCGCAACTCTCGAAAAAAGTCGATTGTTTTGAATCGCTATAAAATTCTTTGGCAAAGCTAATCATTTCCATGAGTCCTAATCTTATAACGGCTGATTTTGTATTGTCTCCAAGTCCTAAACCGTCAATGAAACCAGCTCCACACGCGACTATATTCTACAATTAAACAAAAAATTATAGTTACAAATGTCGGGTGAAAAAATGATTTCCGGTTTGGAGAGTAAAAAGGAAACTCACTTTGAGAGCACCGCAAACTTCAACGGTTTCGGTATCATCAACAACGACAACTCTGAAATAATCAGTTTGTATAAGATCTCTAAGAATAGAACTTAATTTTTTATCTTTACATCCTATTGTTGTTTCGCAAAATTTTTCTTCTGCGACTTCCCCGGCTAAATTGGCACCCATCAAAACGTGGCAGGGAATTTTTAAATGTCTCGTTATTATGTGAGATATTAAATCGATACCACCGCCTTCAGCACGATCGAAACCCTTAAAATAATTATTATAAATTGGACATATTTCAAAAATTTTAATTATATAAAATAATATAACTTATTTATAATTTAATTTTGACATTCGATGTCATTTTTAATACAAAACTAACTTTTATCAGAGATAATCCCACTGCGGTGGGTTTTATTTTACCCAATAAAGATTCGCAAAGTTTTTTAATGAATTGATGAGGTACGACGAAAACCAATATGTCAGCATCTTTCCCAGCTTCGACCACGTCTGGAACGGCTTTTACATTTTCAGGAAGTTTATGTCCAGGTAAATATTTTACATTTTCATGAGTCCTGTTAATTATATCCGTTAATTTTTCACCATTTATCACTTCTTCATAGACGTACATTGTAACTTCATTTTCAAAAACGTCCAATCGTTTACAATTATGACCGATGATTTTAGCAATGGCGGATCCCCTGAAAATATTATTTAGGAAAAAAAAAAAAAAAAAAACCAATAAAAAATAAAGCAATATTATTTTATTATAAACGGTTTTTTATTTTTTTTTTCATTCGAAATTATTTGACTTTATAAACAAATTATTTATTTAAGTAATCAACGACATTTTTTTTTTTAAAATTAAAATAAATAATAAAAAAAAAAGGGGTTGGAATGTTTGTTTAAAGAAATATAACGACCATAAGAATTTTGTATAAATTTGTTGATTAAATGTTTTTTTTTTTTTTTAAATAATAATAAAGGAAAATATTTTTAAATTGTATTAATGAATGTTGTAATAAAAAAAAAAAAAAATTTTAAAGTGATTTTAAGATTGAGTTAATTTGACGTCAATGCCGAAAAAGAGAAAGTTTGTCTATTTCTAAAATAATCAAGGTAAAAATAATAAAAAAAATTTTAAAAATTATGAAATTTATTTTTGATAGCCTCCAGCTACATTAAATTTAATATTTTAAAATAATATTTTTAATTTTTTTTTTTTTTTATTTTTAGAAATGTTACATTAAAATTTTTTTAGGCATTTAAATTACACATGAAAATATTTTCCATATGTTAATAATTTAATGAAAAATTTGACATTACTTTTAACAAACTCTCGATGGAAAGTTTGTAAAAAAAAAAAAATTATTGTATTATTTAATATTAATAAGACGATTGAAAATATTTATTATTAAATTAAATAATTAATTGTTTTCACAGGTTTTGTATAAAAAAAAAAATTAATTAATAATAATTATCGTTATGCTTGACGAGCTTAAATGAGAGAAAGTATCGAGTAAATTTATTGAAAAGCAAAAAAAATTTTACATTTAATATTTTTATATCTTACAGGTAAATAACTTTTATTTTTAAGTGTATTAAAAAGTGTAATTTATGATTTTGGCAAAAAAAAAAAAAAAATAATAATATCAACAATTTCTTTTAGTTTTGTTTCGATTAATTATTATATGTAAAAAAATTTATTTCGAAACATTATGCGAATAAGTAAAATTGACTTTAATTGAAATTAATATTTTTAATATTGAAATTATTATCTTTTATTAATGTTCAGAGACAAAATTTATAATTTACCTTTTTTACTCTGCTTTTCCAAGTTTATTAACAAAAACATTTCGAAATTCAATAACAAATATTGTTTATCATTAATAACAAATTTTGATCTATAACTTAGTGGAGAATTCTTCTTAACTGGGAAGCTGAAAAGTTTTTTAAAGTATTCAATTTAATAATAAAAAAAAAAAAAAAAAAAGAAATTACTGAGAACTATAGATTTTTTATAATGACGTATTAAAAATTTGAAAAATAAAAAAGGAAATGACATTTGTCTTTTTTTTAAAAAAAAAAAATTAAAATTATTGCAATCAAAATAAGTTAATTTAAAATGATGTACATAATCTTTAACAAAATAAATCAAACAAATTTAGGTTATGAAAGAAAAAAACTTACCAGTTTCCAGAACCCACAATGCAAACTTTCATTTTTATAGTTTTTTTCTAATAAAATAAACTTCCAAGTTAAATATAAAAGAAAAACAAAAATTTCAAGTCAATTATCTATTGAGGCGCAACAGTGTTTGACTTTGACCCCTGAGATTATATATTGCCAAATCGGCCATTTGTATCTAAAATAAGTCATAATGAATCCTATAATATTTGATTAAAATTTATTTACAGATGGTATTTTCATTAAGTGACAATTTTTTTTTTTTTTTTTAATTAATATTTAAAAAACATTTTATTTAAAAAAGGAAAAGAAAATGAAGGAGAAATTTTTTTTTTAAAATTTTCGTATTGTTGCGATTTACGTTACAATCGAAACCGTTGAAACTTTAGAACACTTGAAAAAAAAAAAAAAATGTTATTCTATAAAATAATGTAATATGCATTTTAATTGTTTTCTGATTTTTTAAAATAATTTTACTTTTAGAAATTTTTAAAATAATTAAAATTGACTCTGGCAAAAGTTTTTTTTTTTTTTTTTTTTGCATAAATTTTATATTATTTATAAACATAGTATTCTATACTCCCATTACAATATGGCGTCCACTAATTGGGTACTATCAGGTAAAGATAAACTTTTTTTTAAGTTTGCGGTTTAATATATTTATTAATTATTTAATTTCAGCTTAAGATAACATTTATTTTAATAATTAGGATTTTAGATACCGAAATTTTTTTTTATTAATATACTCATCATTATAAATAATTAAAATAATTGATAACGTTAGAAAATGCATGAAGGTGAAAGGGTCACGAGAACCTTTTCAACTGATGGGCTGGATGATGTGCTATGAGCTCCTCAAAAAATAAAGTAGATGAGACAGACTGTGCTCTAAAGGTAGGCAAAATTATATTAATTAACAAAATTACCATTATTAACAATTGTAAACAGTAGTTTAATTGACTTCCTTTTGTGGTATTAAAAGTTTATTTTCAATAGATAAAATTTAATTTATTTACTATGGATTAACTTGATTATTGAAATATTCGTTTGAAAAACTTTCTTTAACCATCAGATAACAAATTTAATAACCTTGACCTAAGATAACTAAGAAAAATAATCTAAAAATAATATCTGTTATTTGGACTGCTAAAAATTTGTACTATTTTAATTTGCCTAGATTTTCATATTTGTTCTTTTTTTCTCATTGTGTGATTTGTTTGATTAATGATAAAATATTTTTTAAAAAAAAATGTTTAAACATAAATTTTATTTATTATTTTCATTTGTTTAAATTGTAATTGATAAAATCAATTTGTATGATTGAGAAAAAAATAACAGTGAGTTTTATTTTTATAAAAAATGTAATTCACATAAATGAGCTTTTATTAATGTTTTTATTTAATATTATAAAATATTTGTCAATTTATATTTTTTCAACTTTAAATTAAATCTGAAATTTTTATATCGAGGTTTTTTTTTGTGTCATTTTTGATACTCTTTAAATTTCTATACAAAATATTTTTTCATTTCATTTATAGGACTTAAAATAAATGTGATTGCACTTAAAATATTATTATTTGCATGTCTGAAAAAAAAAAAGATTGTTTAATGTTGATTAAATAATTTATTAAAATTTTATTTTCAGGAAAATGAAAGTCTGTCTAATACCAAGAGAGTAATAACTAGTCTGTTAGCTGGTGCAACAGCAGGAGGACTTGCTAAAACTACTATTGCACCTTTTGATAGATGCAAAATTAGCTTTCAAGTAATATATTTTTTAACTTTTAAAATTTTTATTCTATTTACGTTTTTTTACTAAACTGTACACATTTCATTAGATTAGTCAAGAACCTTACTCTGCTAAATCGGCTTACAATTATTTAAAAAATATTGTTGTAAAAAATGGATTTTTCGCCTTATGGAGGGGCAACACTGCTTCAATGGCTAGAATTCTTCCTTATGCATCCATCCAGTTCACATCTCATGAACAGTGGAAAAGGATTCTTGGAACATCAAATAAAGACCACAATTTCAGGTAGTATATTTAAATTAGTTATCTGAAATCATTATTATTTATTATTAATATCGATTATAATTAATGATATCAGTAATAATAATAATAATAGTAATAACAGTTTAATTAGATGATATTTTAAAGAAATTTTAATGATTGTCTTTGTTTTATTATCATTATGTTTTCATTTATTTTTTAGTCCTGACGAGTTGAAATTTAGAAGATTTTTAGCTGGTTCCCTAGCTGGAATTACTTCCCAGACTTTAACTTATCCATTAGATTTGGCAAGAGCTCGAATGGCTGTTACTTACGATTCTGAATTTGCAACATTAAAACAAGTTAGTCAGTAGAAAACTTTTATAAAAAAGAATAATACTTAAAAATTTAAATTAATTAAACATTTAAAATGGAATCATTTTTTTTTAAATTTCATAAAAATCATTTTTAGGTTTTTAAACAAACATATAAAGAAGAAGGACTGAAAGGATTTTATAGAGGTTATGTGCCAACTTTTCTCGGTGTTATACCATATGCTGGAGCAAGTTTTTTTACATATGAATCATTAAAAATATGGTATTCAGGTAATTTAAATCCGATAATTATATAAAATCAAATTAATTTTTATTAAATAAATTTGCATTATTTATATTTAATTTTTTTTTAGATTTGATGGGAAAAGCAAAACCTGATTCTTTAATACTTTTAGCATTCGGAGCAGCCTCTGGATTTTGTGGTCAAGGTATATCGTATCCCCTTGATATTGTCAGAAGAAGAATGCAAACGGAGGTTATAACAAAACAAAATTACCAATCTATATTTGGTACATTGAAAACAATATATAGGTTAGTGTTATAAAAAAAACTTTAAGGAAGAAAACTTTAATCGAAAAAAATTTTTTTTTATAGATTTTTTTTTAAATTTCATTTTATTAATTTATAATTTTAGAACTGAAGGATTTATAAAAGGATTTTTTAAAGGATTAAGTATGAACTGGATTAAGGGGCCCATTGCTGTTGGTATTAGTTTTGCAACCTACGATGGAATGACAGATTTCTTAAGACGAATTATTTGTTAAATTTAATCAAATACCGAATTTAACACGCCGCACTTTTTTCTTCTTTTTTTTTTTTTTTTTTTTTTTTTCGGATAATAAAGTGCCATTACGATTT